AAAAAAAAGATATAATCTTTTCTTCAGCCCACACGATTATATCCGCAAAACAGAGTGCTTTCTGAAATTGTATCAATAAAGCCGAAGCAAAATATATTAATACAATAGTGTGAGGAGCACTCAAAATTTTTTTTTATAAAAATAACAACAAATAAAATAGATCACAAAAAGTAAAAATAAGTAACATGTAAAAACAGAAAATAAATAAAATGAAAAAACATATTTTTTTTCATTTTATTTATTTAATCCAATCTAGCCCGGATCAAGTATTTGGAGAAACATGCCTCCATGGAGGACTTTTTGGATGGAACTGGCCTGCATTCACTTTACATCGAGAGGAAAACCACGAAAGCCTCTCACGGTTAGACAGACGGCAAGGGAACTCTAACCGATGATTCGTCTACCACTGAGGATAATTTACGTCAACTCTGTAGTCGGTGCAAGCCGGATGCGCAATTCGTACTGACCAGCCACAGCTGGGATTCGAACCCGGCTCACACGGAAATTTAACTGAAAGAAACAAATGAAAGAATGAATCGTTAACATTTATTTTAAATCTAAATTATTATGTCACGCTTGTGTTAGAATCAGTTTTTTTTTAAAATTAAAGCACTAAGTCTAGTTGTGTAAATGTTGTTTAAAGAGCTGTTTTTTGAAGGCTCCATTGTTATATAAAATGATGCTGTTTGTGATTAATGTGTTATTTTTATAACAGCTGTAAGTTAACTACTGTTACTCATGACTGTTACTCATGTCAAGTTCATCCTATCTAAGGCTAGCACTATCTACGCTTAGTTTGAAAATGTCGTAAAACGTCAAAATGGAGAAAATTTTTGTGAAAATGAAAAGCGTTCGTGGTCTAATTATTTAATATTTCAAAACTTACTCCAATGCTGCCTAATCTGAGCACATAAAAATTTGTCAAGACTGATAATTAAACAGTGATTTTGATATTTTTCATCTAGATAGAAAAATGTCACCAAATTGGTAATTTTTTAAAAAAAGTTTAATAACTTTTTAAATACTTAAGTTGTTTGTTTGTTCTAAAGCTCAGACAATTCTTCACTGCCAGATTGCATGTATAGTTTAAAATCATAGCATTGCTTTAAGTTAAGGTACTAAAACTATGGCATTTTTTTTTCCTTAGCGACAGAGATTCGAAGAACAGTTTTAAATAATTTTCGATTATCAATGAAATATAATGATTTTTTTTTATCACACAGGTTTACAATGTTGATTTAAGAAACCACGGAGATACAGAATGGAGTGACGATTTTGACTTGGTGATACTAAAAAAAGATTTGTTGCATTTCATGGAAACTGTCAACTGCCCTAAGGCAACCATCTTGGGCCACAGCGTTGGTGCTATTGCCGCTATCCTAGCAGCTCTGGAAAATGTAACAATTTCCTTTTGTCTCAAAACACTGCATATTTAAGATTAAACGATTTATATTAAAGTTTAAATCAAGAAATGTAATTATAATAGGGTGGTCACAACCGTGAAGAATCTTATTGCTGTTTCTAATGACACTTGGGCATGCCAAGCTGACCAGCCATTAAGTTTGTCTATTAAGTTAAAAGTGTGCGCCTTTCGTTTTCTTAGAGGCACCGCAAGGGTGAAAGTATGTCTTGGTTCAGAACCCCACAGATAGATGGCGGCACCACTCATTCGTGAGAACAGAAATTATTGAAATGTAAACACGACTTTCGTAAAACATTGCTAAAAGCTATTATAATTTAATTTTAAGTTTAAATTTGAAAAAAAATATTTATAAGTTTAGCACGCAGCATAAAAAGCGTGAAATGATTTTTTGAAAAAAAAAATCTTTTAGAGGCAGCCAAATGTACACTTTTTGAAACCATTCCAGCTTAAAGAAATTAAAATATAGAAAAATATTTTTTAAATTTTTAAACTAAAAAAAGCGCTATTAGGAATTTTTATTAAAAAAAACTTATTTTAGCAAAAGAAAGTATCTAAGCTATTAATCAATACACATGTTTAATATTTAAAATATTTATCAATTTCCAATATTCAAACACGACATTATCAAACCAATTTCCAAGTTTTAAGTTAAAAGACTTGTTAAAAATAGAGCAATTAATCGTGCCAGTTGAAAAATTTTGAATTGAGTAAAATTAATTTAAAGGCAAAACTTAGTATAAATAAATTTAAACGGAATATTTGAATCAGCAGATAATTATAGTTCATGTGTGTGTGTAATGATTAGTATAAGGTGACTGAGTTTCTATAATTTTGTGGTAACTTTAGAAGTTTTTTGATCATCATCTTTGTGTTAATATGCTAAAATAAAACAAATCGTAAAATTTATTATTTTTTTCTCAAAAAAAGGGAAATTTTGTTAAGAAAAACCCCTCCAGACCACTTAATTTACAAGCAAACATACCATGACATATATAAGAATTAGAAAAAATTCATGAATTGTATCTTTTTCCTTGAGTTCTAATGCTTTAGTATGCTGCCAATTTCCTTTGAGTATAGACAATCATAGTTTTACAATATATGTATTTTCACAATATATTTCTTAAATAATTGAAAATGCTTAAAATGTTTTCCTTTTAAAAAAAATTACAAATTTCTAAATTAGAAAAGCTAAATAAGTTAGACAATTCAAATTAACAAGTCATTTAACTAATTTAATATACGGTGATCCAGTTGAAAACAGACATTAAAATGTGAGATCGTGAGACATTAAAATGTATGATTATGAGTTCACAAAAATACCGTAATTAGTAACTCATAACTAAAAACTATTTTACCAAGTTTAAGAATAAATTTTAAGAAAGCGATACTTTAACAATTTGATTAACCATTGGAAAAATTTGTAGCAAATCAACTATTTTTTTTAAATTAACGTAGAAGTTTCCTTTAATAATACTTCGTATGCGAAAAATAGTTAGAAAATAATATGCAGGTTCGTGGTTACCATTTTGCAATGATAATATAAGTCAGGATGACTACGAGTCACGAATCACATAAAGAGGCTTATATGACAGAAAAAGTGCTATGAATTTTCAAACAAGAAAAGTATGATTGATAAATTTATTGTCAGCGTTGAAAGAAAACTACACAGATTCGGACAGATCAAAAATTACGACCATCTGGGACTTGGGATAAGGATTTAGTTGACCATTCCACTATTTTTCATTCAAAGAGGATTTAAAGTGTTTAACATTTCATGTGGGTTAACAACAAAAAAATGACAATTTAAACAAGACATATGATTTTTTAAAAAAAATTTAAATTACTAAATTTTGCTGCGATATTAAAGTGAACTGTTCAGGGTGGAGGTTCTAATGAACATTTAATTAACGAATGGTTTATGAAAGAGTAAGTGGAAGTTTATGCATCAGTCGTTATAATGGAAGATTTGTAATGGATTATTGTACTAAAGAGACCAGACTGTACTCCTTTATGACAAAATTTAACATGGAATTAAAAAGAGGATTTTTAAAAGATTTTTGCTACTTAAAATAACACAAAAAGGTAAAAATATTTATAATAAGTGTGTATAAAATTTTTTTAAATAGGAAATTAAAACTTTCTCTTTTATGAACCTCTATCCTCGCCATCTTGGATATAAGGCTAAATTTTTTTTTCTTGATATTTTTGTGTTTCATGAATGGTTGATCATGTGGTGTTATTCAACGATATAATGCCTTTCAAGAGGAGCAGAAAATAAGAGAGTCACCTAAGTAGATCAAGAGAAGTAGCGTTTGAAATTTTTTTTTAAATCCTTATCAGTAGTCAATAAATTCAATAGTTTGGTCTAGAGAGGGGTCAAAAGTTAAGGCCTTTTTTTGCATAATTCACCATATCATGAGAAATTAATTAATTAGAAAAATTTGTATAATTCACCATATTATGAGAAATTAATTAATTAGAAAAATTTGCATAATTCATCATATCATGAGAAATTAATTAATTAGAATAATTTGCGTAATTCACCATATTATGAGAAATTAATGAAAAATAAGTAAAGCGAATCGAAAAATTTTCTCACACAATCATAAAATTCGTTTATCCAAAGATAACTCCATACAAAAAAAAATTTAATGAATTATTTATTATTTTTTACTATTTTCTTTAATAATAGTCGAGCAAATTTTGAATTTTAATATATGCAAATTTTTATATAATTTTATATGACATTTGAACATAATCGACAGAATAAATCCTTAAAAAAAATTAATTTTTAAAAGTCAGATTTTTGAAATTTGATTTCTCAGGAACAATTCAGCCAATTTTATTCAAATTTCGGTTTTTTCCATAAAAAATTACACAAGGCTGTAAAAATTCGCATGTTCTAAAATTAAAATTTTTTCCCGAATATTATTAAATAAAATAATAAAGAATAACAAACGAGTAATAAAAATTACTTTTTGCATTGAAATATTTTTAGATAAATGGATTTTATATTAACTTTCAAAAATTTTTCAAATCACTTGAAAAGGTCTCGAGATATCTCGAAAGATGCTGAGAATAAAAATAACATTCAAGAGTCGAAATTTCGGACCGCTTTCTGACCAAACTATTGCAGACATATATCTTATAGATTGTGGCTACCTCGTATATTTTGGAAATCAAAAATCCTAATCCGTCGAAAAAAAATTGTTCAGAAAAATTGCGTTCTTAAGTCTGATTTCGTAATTAAAAATATAATCTGCGTTATCTCATTCGAATTTTTGAGGCCACCCCCATGTCCCATGAAGGCTGAGACTTAGTACCTGAAAATTTGATCATGCAATTGCCTTTGTAACAAGTTTCATCGCCTTTCGAAGCTGCGTTCCTCTAAGTACTGTCAGGTTAATTTTAATGATCCTATATTTAAAAACATTGTTTTCATTTGATTGATCATAATCGTATTTCCTTTCTTATTTGCAGTCGGATAAAATTGAAAAAATAGTTATTGATGAAATGAGAGTAAGTAAACTAGATCGTTCAGCTGCTGCTTTTACAAGTGCTTTTGCCACATTTGCTCCAAAAGCTTTGCCGAAGATACCTAAAGATGCAGATGAAGGTGAAGCTGCTAGCATTGTCATAAAGACTGTGTGTGACGCACTTCCATCTGAATCGGTAAGTTATTTATTTAACTTACCTAAAATTCTACTATTAAGCTACAGAAAGACTTTAAAATTACATTTTGAGATTTTAGTTATTAAGATTTTGAATCATAGATTGTTTATTTAACTTTTAATAACAATAAATGAACCTTGGCATAAATAGATTCTTTAATGGTATTTTTCCAAGTTCTTTTGCAGAGGAAAATAGTGAAATGAAACCTCAGAATCAATGCCTAAAATTTGTATCAAAGTTATAGTTTTAAAATATCTATACCATCTTGGATAATCATAATCTGGATAATCATAATCTGGATATCATAATCTGGATAATAGAGCGGTAAAGAACTTTATTTAAGAGTTAATAAACTTTCTTTTCTTTTTTTAAAAAAAAAAGAATCGCCAAATTGGCGAGATTTTTCCATTCTAATGGCGATTATGAAAATATGTGAAGAATTCTCCATTACTTTTAATTTTTTCGGAACCCAGATAATATGGCATTGGAATAGCTTTTTAAATGTTAAAAAACTATATCACAAACGCTTCTTATTTTCAAATACTCTCTCATGTAAAACTACATTTTCTTTCAAAAAAGAAAGAAAAAAAACAACATCACTTGCTATGCGAGTTTCTTTTAAAAAAGGAACTATCTTTACGAACACCCTCTTAATGCAAGATTCAAATGTCTATCCTTTCACAGATTAATACTCAGGACATAATTCTACTATACTCTGTTACAAGTTAAGAAAAATCCATTATCCCTATGGAGAGAGCCTGTTTGCATCTAAGTGTACGCCAAATGGATGCCAAGCTCCCAACGCAAACGTATGTCAACACCGCAAACTCTTAAAACAGTGTTTTTCTAAATCATGTGGAATAACGAAAACGAAACTAATAAAAAATCAATTAACAAGTAATAAGAATTAGTAAAAATGATATCTAAAACTTGTAACAAAGCAAATATGCGTTTTTCTATTCTCGTTTTAAAAAAAACTGATGAAAGAATGATGAATACTGTTTCTTGCAGACGATTTTCTTCTACAGTGAAACAAAGGTCAAAATTCCTTATCTCATATTTAATTAATTTGTTAAGGTAATTTATTAAGGTTATTAATTAGTTATCTCATATTTAATTTGTCAGCATAAGACATGCCATTTTTAGTGGTCCAGTCAAATCCAAATACTCTCTCAACGTTATATAGTTGTTTTTTTTCTAGAAATGAATGTTCTTATTTATAGAAATATGTCGCCAAGTCTAGGATTCCAGTAAGACTTCGAAACTACAACCTTTTCTTTTAATAATTCTGTGATATTTATAGCAAAAGATAGCACGAATTAAATTTCTCTTTGACGTGTTTAAATTCTAATTAAAGCTTTTAAATTGTTTTGAAAGCATATTTGCTGTATTTGATATCGAAATAAAACGGAACTATATGCAGTCGTGGATGAAACTTAAATCCCATACCGCAATTGCCTTTTTTCTTAAACTTGCAACGGAGTATAATTATACTGTTGGAATCGTTATCTAATTATTTCAAAACGTAATGTACTCTTATCCAAAGAGAGTCCGTCTTTGTGTTTTAGTTACCTGAAGCATAACTATTAACTTGATCGAAATCTAGAAGGTTTTCTAAAATTATGTTAGGTGCAATTTAGAATATAAAGTTAAGATTGTTAAGAACTAAAAGTTATTAATCATAAGTTCTATTTATTTATTTATTTGAGCTCTATACACAAGTAAAAAATTGCTTTAGAACTAATAACTTTTTTGGATAGATCATTTAACAGCAAATGTTTTTCATTAAGTGCTATTTGCCACTTGCACTGGACCCAACTTTGGCTATCGCCTTTTTCTTCCTCGTATTTCTTCCCAATCCAAATTCGATTTGCTCACTCGCTGTAAACAGATCTGTTTTAATCAGGGCTCGAAAAACCACCCGTCCGCCCGTCCTCGGCGGTCAAAAATTCCCTGCGGACAACAAATATCTCGAATCCGACGTCCGCGCGGACGGCCATTTTCACGTTAATATTCGTGATACATTTTCAATTTTTGTTATCTTACAAAGAGTCTAGCGCCTCACTTCTAAAAGGACCCTCTAATCTAGAAATACAGCAACATACTTGCGCTTGGTGGAATTGATGTTTTCTCTGTCTGGGAGTAATGCAGTGGTTGAAAGAGGCTTTTCGGCAATGAGCTTACAACTAAACACATTACGTACTGGCCTTAAACAAGAAGCGTTAAACGCAATTATGAACATCCACCTAAATGGAAAACCCCTTTCAGATTTCTGTGCAGAAACCTCTGTAAATCATTGGCTTGATTGTGGAACTGGCAAACGTCATATTTGTTTCATTTAAAAAACGAAGTAACCTCGGATAAATTGACATTCCAGATAACTTGACCTTTGTCATTTAAATTATTTCATAAAAAAAATAAATTATTTCATAAAAGAAATACTAAGTTTTACTATTAGTAACCTACTATTTGTAATCCCAGTAACTACTAATTCAATGTGCAATTTATATAAATGTTTGTAATAAATAAGAGAAAATTATATTTTTATTTATTTAGAAGCTACGGGTTAGTTTCAAAGGAGGACGGATACATTGTTGGACAAGCCGTCCTCGGGGACGGGTAAAATTTCTGACATTCTTCGAGCCCTGGTTTTAATCCAGATTTGTATGAATTGTAGCTTAAGTTTTAAAATAAAGCTCTAAAAACTTGCAACATATTGTTCAAAATTCAAAATTTTTAGCGTTTGGTGATATGAGAGTTTACTAAGCACTTTGTACCGATTGGCGCATTTAATATTGCTATCTGAACAAGTGCAACGATGTTACATAATTTTTTTTTCTTCATGTTGAATCGAATGAGACTATGCAAGATTCAATAGAACTAATAGTTCGAAAGTTGCAAGCGTTTTTATGTATAAAAAGTACAATTTTTGACATGACTTATGAGCACTCTTTACTTCTCAATCTAGTAGCTACCTGAAAATATGAAATTTATTTTCCTATGTAAGTTTTTATGGTCAGTTGAAGGATATAAATTAGAAATTGATTAGATATTTAATTAAGAAGTTATAAGATGTTTTAGTAAAAAAAGTACTATTTTGCACTCGTTCTTATTTTTGCATCTTACATTGCTATTCAAACAAGTACAGTAGCGCTTCCTATCTATTTATTCTGGCTTAATCTAATGAGTAAAAGACGAATGAAAATAGATTATACTTTTATAATTTAAATGTTTTTTTTTTCTTTTTTCGTATAAAAAGTACTATTTTCGATTTGCACTTATTATTCTGAAAATCTTCAAAACTTGAACAATAATATTTGTATTATCTCGAATTTAATTCGAGATAATATAAATATTATTGTTTAAGTTTTCGAGTTCAATTCAGTATAAAGATATTTTCTCCGAAAAATGTACAGGTAACTCCTAGACAGCAAAGATTAGATAACTCCTAGATATCAAAGTAAAAAGCGTCAATAAGTCACGTCAAAATACTACTGTTAATATCTAAAAACGATTGAAACTTTTGAATCACTCGTTCTATTGACTCGGCTATATTCTCATTTCATATAAAGTGAAAAAGTACATAGGAAACATTGTCTCACATGTTTAAATAGCAATTGTACATTCATGAGCAGTATAAGTACAAACTTGTGCCGCGATGGCTCATTTGGTTAAGGCACTGAACAGCCATTGTGAAGGACTAGGGTTCGATCCCTCGTGTAGATTTTAATTCCACCCAGCTTGAGATCGATGGGTACCTGCTTGTCTAGGACGTAAGGATAGTCTGTACACAATGTTGACCGTATTACCAAACTCATACCTTAGTCGCTTAGTTTTATTTTATTTCATTTTATAACAATCATTGAGCAGTCGGTCCAATTTTCGGGTTTAAGTCAAATTATGTTCAACTCCGTAGCCTTGTAATTTTGAACCCAATCCAGAGGACAAGGTAACTCCTGGATCAAATATTGGGAGAAATTTGCCTTCGTGGAAGACTTTCTGATGGAACTAACCCGCATTTGCGTTACATGGAGAGAAAGAACACGATAACCTCCCACGGTTAGCCTAACGACAAGGGGACTCTAACCCACGATCCGTCTACCACTGAGGATATTTCACGTCAGCACTGTGATAGGTTCAAGCCTGATGCGGAATTCGTATCGACCAACCATCGCCGGGATCGAACCCGGTTCACCTCATTGAAAGACGAACGCTCTATACCCTGAGCCATCGCGGATCTAGTCGCTTAATTGTTGAGATTTAACCTCCATGATCTCCCTTACCCACAATGAAGCTTTGCGAAAATGCTTTGAAACTTGTTTTTTTTTCTTCCGTAAAACGCTCATAATTTCTGAACTATTAATCAAACTCAATCTATCTCGGAATATATCAAACTTGTGTAATTCGATTCAGCGTGGAAAACTACATCGGTAATTCTTTGATTTGTTTTAGAAGATATTCAATTCAAATCGTCTTGAAAAAAAAAGCTGGGAGAGAGTACAGTGAAGCAGTGGAGACTTGGGGGTGTCATTCATAATAACATAACAAAACTAATTGTCGAAAATATCTCGGGAATTAATTTTTCAGGCAGAAACACTCTTCTTTTGCTATAATTGCTGGTCAAACACACGAATATTCTAAATAACAAATATGTTGCCCATGATTTCAGCGATAACTGTCATTATATGACCAAGCTGGCTTAAACCTCACTTATTAAATATACTAAATTGTTTTTGCAGGTGAAGAAAAATAGAATTGATGAGCTAGATAAAACTGCGCTCGGTCTAAGGAAGAAGCCAGATGGAAGCTACGAATTTAAGGCAAATTTAGAAAATTTGGCTGATTTGGCGAAGAATGTAGAGAAAGTTTTGGTAGAGCCGGAAGGTCTTTTTAATGGGCCAGCTCTATTTATTTATGGCGACCAATCTTCATTTCAAGTGTAAGTATAAATGTTCCATATAGAGCCGGCCAGGTGGCCGAGCGGTTAGCGCGCCTGACTGCGAAGCCATTGGCTGCGAGTTCGAATCTCGCTTTGGGCATGGATGTTTCTCTCTCTCTTTGTGCTGTCCTCTGTTGTGTAAGTGTGTGGTGTGTGAATGTGGCCCACCCTATAAACGGGTTTGCGGCGGTGTGACGTGGGCAACGTTGCTCGCCTCCGTGACTTTGGTTCACAGGTGCCCACTGGGCAACGCGAAATGAGTAACAATTCCGCCATCTTCATAGGCAAAGATTCAAATTCAGTGCCTGCCATTTAAAAAAATATATTCCATATAGAATCAATGGAGTCAAATTGATCGGTGCTTATTAAATAATTACTTAACATTGTTTATCATAGCTCTATCGCCAAGAAAAATTTAAAAAAAAAAGCCACAGCTTAAACGCCTTGAAGCAAATTGATGATTTTATATATATCATTTTGTCATGAAGAATTGTCTGGGCTTTAAAACGTACAAATAACTGAAATGATTTAAAGGTTACAAATTTTTTTTTAAAAAAATCTCGAATTTGGCGATATTTTTCCACCTAGAATAACTGCCTTATTCTGAGTTTTTGCAAGTTTTTATGAGCCCACTAAAGACATACACTGAAAATACTTCCTTAATTGATGGTGTATTTTTTTTGTAACTCTTGGCTGTAGAATTGCGTTTATGCTGAGCTTTTGGTGTGTCACGATGAAGGGTGCAGCTTTCGTCAGTTAACATTGTTGAATACCTTCACCTTATAACAGCAAAATATCTTAGTGAAAACTTTTACCCATAGATATGAAGGTCCTATGTTAGTCCCTGATTTTACCTTATTCATCTCGGACTGAAACAAGGTTTTTGTGGAAGAATCGAAGATGTGAATCCAAGAGGCATTTACATAATTATGAGTGTGATGCCACAATTGGCATTACATATTTATTTCCTATCTTTTAAAATATCTTTCATTACTTAAGCTGATTTTATTAATAAAACTACATTTAAAATAAATCAAAGAGTTAATCTTTGAAAATGAGAAGAAAATATTTATTCTTTTCTTATACATCAATGTAACGGATACTTTTTTATTTCATTACTAATGCAGACTTACTAATTCACTGTCGCCTCTAATCGAAAACAAAAATCTATTTATAACTTTTTTTTCTAAATTTCTAACAGCTAAATGTTTCTGTTGCATGGTTGTAATAATTCTTATAAATTTGTTGGCAACTCGTGATCGCAAAACTGTTCTTTTAAACCAGTATTGTTATGATGGTTGGCTTTGTTTTGGCTATGTTATATTTTGATAAATCGCCNGTGAATCCAAGAGGCATTTACATAATTATGAGTGTGATGCCACAATTGGCATTACATATTTATTTCCTATCTTTTAAAATATCTTTCATTACTTAAGCTGATTTTATTAATAAAACTACATTTAAAATAAATCAAAGACTTAATCTTTTGAAATGAGAAGAAAATATTTATTCTTCTCTTATACATCAATGTAACGGATACTTTTTATTTCATTACTTATGCAGACTTATTAATTCCCTGTCGCCTCTAATCGAAAACAAAAATCTATTTATAACTTTTTTTTCTAAATTTCTAACCGCTAAATGTTTCGGTTGCATGGTTGTAATAATTCTCATAAATTTGTTGGCGACTCGTGATCGCCAAACTGTTCTTTAAACCCAATATTGTTATGATGGTTGGCTTTGTTTTGGCTATGTTATATTTTGATAATACGCCAATTTTTGATCTCCTACCCATACTTTCTCTGTCCGTTAGGAATAAATATATTCACTTTTAATTTTAAATTTGTGGAGACTGGGAGTGCCCTTACGGGCCTCCCCAGTCTCAATTCTTAACCGTCAGAAATGATATTCTGGCGGTATGATCTCTCAATAAGAGGGTATTCTGATTTCATTCCTTTTAAGGGATTTCTTTTTTTGGATGAAGAAATGGCCATTCTCCATCACCAATTATGATTAATAAAATCCAAATTTCACTAAACAATTTGTATATTCTTTCCTGGAGACTGTTTAAAGTTATTTTTCACTATACGAATATTGGCGACTACTGACGGAGAACAAACCTCGGCCATAATGAGATTTATAGTTTCTGAGTAAATGACTGACTACTACTGATTTTAATGACTTACGCATCATTTCATAGATAAACTTCAAAAATACTTAAATTCTATAGATTCTGCCATTTATTTTCTGCCGCATTGCCGGCCTTGACATAAATATTGCATGGCATTGCATGAAAAATTAATCAAAACGTGAAGGTAAAAAAATTAATTAATAAGCTATGCTAAATGAAAATCAATTTTTGTCAATATCTTCAAAATCTGACGTGATAGAGCAAAACGGTTTTCAGATTTAAAATCAGCCTAAGAAAAGATAAGCATCATGCCAGATATGTATGGCTTGTTTATCAGTTTACTTACTTATGCGTATGAAGCCTTATTTGCGTATGAAGCTGTAAGTACATAGAACTCTTTATATAATTACGCAGAGAAAACAAGGGAATTATTCTCATAATTCTATAATAATTATTTAATATTATATAATAATTCTCTTATATAATAATAAATAATTATATAATATTATATAATAATTCATAATTCTACAATAATTCTCATAATTCTATAATAATTCTTCAATAAATTCTTTAGGGAACTAATAAGAATAAAAAAAATATAGTTTAAAGGAATCTTAAATAAAAAATGAAGTAAAAATAATTAGTAAAAAATTTATTAGTTAACTAAAATGAGAACAGATTAACACAAGGAGATACAACCTCTTTCCCAACTCATATGGTTATATCCTCAATCTTATATTGGTAGCATAATTTAAATAGTTATATATTATAATATGAATAATAATAGTGTAATAATATATTTTTCTTATTTTAGCGGGAACGATAAAGATCGCATTAAACAGCATTTTCCGAATGCTGAGTTTGTGGAAATGACTGCTGGAGGTCATTATATTCATCATGAAAAGCCAAAAGAATTCATGGATGCCGTTTTAAATTTCATTTAAGAAGCATTCTAAAATAATCTATTTATAATGGTCTAATTTGAAAAAATTATTATTAAGTGAAGTATTGTATAATTATCTAAATAAATATTGTTAATTTATTCTATCAAAGAAAAGAATTCATTCTTCTATATTGTTATTGTGTTTTTGTGTGTCAAAGTTTTCCCTCTTTTTGATGCAAATAGCATCATTGTTTTTTTCACCTATGAAACTAACATGAACTCTCAGCATATGTGTTTTTTTATTATGAAAATTGAACGGTATAGCAGTATTAAATTATTTTATTAACACTTATTCATATAAAACTTTAGTAAGTTGAATTACAATATTTCTCAAATCAACTGATGTCTTGATCTGAATTTTTTTTACCGTTAAACTGACAGAATTAAAAAAAAATGAGGTAAAGAAAAATAAATTGAGGTAGTTAAAGGATATTTATCAAATTTCTGACGAAGAAGGGGTAAAGGATTGTTCGTTTGCGTCTTGATTTAGGCAATGGGTTTTGAAATTACCATAAGTTGCATTATAATAAACTGTTGGTTTGATCTTACATCTTTTAATAAAGAAATGTAGTAATTGTAAATGACGATCAGAGAAAAATAACTATTTGTATAGTCAAAAAACAGAATTCTCCGTTAAGGGGTTTATTTGGCTGTTATTAATAAAACTGGGGGAAAAAAATTTCATTTGTTTTATGAAGCATGAAAATTTTTAACAGACTTCAGTTTTAAACAGAACCGATAATTTCGCATCTCTGATTTCAAATCAGCAATCAGTTTCTCCCTTCAAGCTACAGTTTTTTTTATTGACATTTAAAGTCTATTTATTGTCGAAATGTACAAGTTCAGAAACATCATGCATAACAAGGGGTTGCATAAATAGACGGCAAACTTCTAGGGGAGTTAAAACACATTGTCATTATTAAAATTGCATGAGCATCCATGTCCAGATATGTCATCCTACGCCGCTAGGGGCTCTTCCCCTATTAAGAACTGTTCTTCGTATGATACTAAAGATCAAAATAGCACCTAAAACAGGTATTCTTCTCACTCCCAAACCTGATGATGTACCCTAATCCCCCCAGAAGTTATGTGCAACATTTACACAATCCCGAAAGCTACTACGAGCCGCAAAATTTCGTAGGTTTTCCCCACAACCTGTTTATTTCTTAGAAACGTTTGAAATGCGAAATTATTTTACTTCAGAAAGAACTTTTTATTTCCAAATTAAATAATGTTTTAAACTTACTTAATGTTTTAAATTAGTTTACCTGGTGTTCGGTTCATTTTTTTGTAAATATTAATTTTAATGTTTATTTATTTCAATCATCTAAAATAAATTGAAATCTGGAATATTTCTCATTTGTATTCCCCTGTTACCAAGTTTTTCTTCGTTCCCTTAATAAGTTCACAACTAATAAATTTTTAATTAATTAATTTCAAAGTCTTTCTTTTGGTATAGGGAAGGTATTTTATCATTTATTGCAATATTAAATAGTTTTGTCTGTAAAAACTTATGAACCAACAAATTACAGTGCTTGAGTAATACAAGAGTAAAATAAGACTTACAGACAAATTTTAAAATTTTTACATGATGCTGCAAATAAATATCAGAGGTTTTTGATACTGGGGTTGAGTAATAGGAGCTAAGAAAGCTTTGTATCAGTGCCAAAATAATGCTTCCTTTAAATTATACTATTCACACATTCATATATCCTTTAATTTTCGATATTTTTAAAATCGGATTCAAAAAATGAAAAAAATTGGTTTATACGCAAAAATTCTTTTAATATCAGATAATTAAATAAGCCTACCATAAGTAAGGAATTGGAAGAAAAAATCATGTTATTTGTATTTGTCGAATCACGAAGTGAAATACGTTTGAATATGTAAAAAAAAAATGTAATTACGAAGATAAAATATATTGCAAAAATAATAATATTAAATATCTAAAAACAAATGAATAAATAAAATTTAAATAAGCTAATTAATGAAATTTATATTAAATTTCTGGATTAGTTTGCATTTTAAGTAACCAAATTTGTTACCTTTTACCTCCATATCCCTAATGTATGAAGATTTGAGTTTTTCTAAAAATATTTTAGAATGCTTAAATACTTTTAAAAAAAAATGTCAATCTGATATTCTTAGCATAGAGAAGCTGCGGATTAGAAAGAAAAAATTCCTAGGTGGAGCAATTTGAAAAAGGATTTTATCAGACTTTAAATTTAATGGTGACTCAATCACTATTTCAAGTAACTTCTGTCGGCCATGTCAATAGCCGTGATTGAGCTGGGATAGCCTGGTTGGTTGGGCACTAAGTCCATCTCCAAGAGGTCGTGGGTTCGATCCCAGTCAGGTGAAGATTCCCCGTGCAGTAAATGGTGACTGAAGCACGCTAAATCTTTCGAGTCAAAAAGGCTTCCATGTTCACATGACAAATTATATCTCTAGGGATACTGATCCAGGAGTTTCCTTGTCTTCTTGATTGGTTCAAAATTACGAGGCTGCGGAGTTGAACACTAGTAGTCGTAAACCCAAATTTGGGTTCACTGTTCAACGATGGTTATGAAATAAATTAAAATTGCCGTCATTTTTTTTTGTATAAAAGCCAGCTGGTATAGACAAATAGAATTACGGAATTTCATAACACATTTCCAAAATCCGGGAAAAGTCATGTGATATCCAAATGCAACCAAACGTGTAAGAGAATGTATTGTTACCTTTTCTATCATTCTATTTAGCTAAATATGGATCCAGCCATAAATGATTGGATGCCAAATCGAAAAGAAAACGAATTGATACAACGAATAGGGGATATTTCAAACTAAAGTTAACTTGAACCTGATATAAAATTTCTCTAAGGCAAGCATCAGTCACAATAATATTTCAAAATTAAAATAATAAAAAACTAATAAGAACAAAAATATAGAATAAGTTTCTTAAAAACTCTTTTGCAATTAAATTCCTATTCCTTCTAGTATGTTGAGAAAATTTACTTACTTTCCTTGTTCAAGAATTTCCTAGTGACACCTATAACCTATAACTAACTTTCTGTCGTAAATATTTCTGTATTTGAAAATTAAAAATTATGTATATGTAAGGAGGCATAAGAGTTTTAGAAAGGCTTAGATAGAACGCAACGCAAAAAAAGGGTTAAAAACACAACTATAGCGCAAGCAACGACTCCTTTAGATGCAGTGAGGCATCGCTAGATGGCGTTGTTCGTAGCAGGCTCGATACATGATTTCGTTAACATGCTTATGAAACTAAACACTCAAATTGTTTTAAGTGGAATAAACATGCTTGGTTGATCCTTTAGTATTCGATTTACCATGACTATTATAAAAAGTTAAATCAATACTGTACTATAGTAGTAAAAATCTGATTATACGTTTTATCATTTACTGTCATTTGTTATTATATTATACAATAACAATTTTTAAACTGCTAAAATTATGTAATTTCCGAAGACTGTTTGGTATCAAAGCTACGTATTTTCTTATAAAAATAATATTTCTTAAAATCTGGCCGTAATAAATTTTTAACTTTTAACCGCACTTAGCACCTCTTGTATTATAAATTCTTCTGTTTAAATGCAAGTTATAAAAACATATTAATGGCTGACAATTTTTGGTGCTGCTTATCAAATAAATAGAGATAATTCTTTTTACAGGAAATGTAAAAGAGAGAGAGAGAGAGAGAGAGAAAGAGATAACGAGAATTATGACTCTAAATATTTTGCTTTTTACTTTATTTTGTTCGTAATCTAATCATCATCTTTAAACAAAGCACGCAAAAATATGATGTAACTATTTAGTTATTTTGGTTTCTTGATGTTGCATTTGAAACCAGAAACTATTTCATGAGGTAGCGGAAAAAAGATAAAGGGCAAGATCACTAATAGGCATTTATCTTCAAAAATAACATATCCCGTCAAGCATTTTTTTTTGTTAAAACTTTTATCTGATAAAATATAGGACTCAGATAGTGATATTTTTTGTAAAGATAAAATACATGACATAAAGTTTTAAATTCATATCCTTCTTACATAATAAATGCTTTGAGTATGCATATGTTTTGGTTTATGACACGCAATAGAAAATTTGATAAAATTTATACTTATTCTATAAACATGAAAATAACCAGCATGTCTGTAATATTTGCAAGCAAAAGAATTAAATATTAAAAATGAAACTTGTTCTTGTAACTTGAAACTATGTAAAATCTCCGAAAGCACTAATCTCCGAAAGCAGAATTGAAATTTATAGTTGCTACTATTTTGGTGTCAACAAATTTTCGGCAACTATCTTAAATAAACATCTTCAGTTGCGGACAGAAATACTAATACTCTAAATATATTGATGCATTTTATGAAAGAATTTTATTTTGCGAAAACAGCAATTAAATTTTGAAAAGTATTAAGAAAATATGAAATAACAATTAATTTTAATCAAAATAATTTTTCGTTGGCAATCTATGACTAAAATAATTTTTCTTATTATTTGGTCAGAGTACATGTGTTTAAAATAAATAAAAAAACAATTTATCTGTTTTATCGATGCAAAAAACAGCATAATTTTTAGTTTTGTGGGTATGTGTTTAAAATAAAATAATTTTAAGGATTAATTTTGTCATTATTTAAGGTTTACTATTGCTATGCTATGCACAATGTACTAAGGGTAAATAAGTTAGTTACCAAAGTTTAAGCGTAAAAGTTAAAAGCTATGAGAAAACCTTTTTCCGAAACTATTTTCTTACAGCCACAGCTCTAAGCTTAAAGTTTTATTTGTAAATCATAATCCATGTCAAAATTGATAAAAAGAAAATACTGATATGTCATAAGTAAAAATTAAAGTTTTTTCCCATCAGTAATTTAGAGAGTGATATTGGCTAAAATTAAGAAATTTACCATTCCAATAATTTAATTGAGCTGCATTGCGAAACAAGTTAACTAGTTATTAGTTTTAAGCAATTGCAAAAATAAATAAAATAAATAAATAAAATAAATAAATAAATAAATAAATAAAATAAATAAAATAAATAAATAAAATAAATAAATAAAATAAATAAAATAAATAAAATAAATAAAATAAATAAATAATTAAGTAAATAAAGTAAATGAATAAATT